TTTTTTTTTTTGGTCTAGTCAAGCGCGCGCTATTCACATTTTTCGCGTATTTAATATTCAAACTGTAACGTAAGCCCTGACACGTAATTTGTAACGTACCTTAATATAAATTCAAATGTACAACCGTTAAAAGCTCATTTGCCACTGAAGACGACATGAGAATGTCGATACATACTTATTCTACGGATTGAAATTACCTTGAAAAGATCATTTTCCTTTTTAGAGTTTTTTCATTCCATTTTGATTCAATCTAATTTATATTAGTGCCAAGATTGCCATTCTAAGCATGATTCGAAGGGGTAAATATCTAACATGATATTACTGAATAGATCTTAGGTAAGATGACTTCATATACTTAGAAGAACAAGCCTCATTTGCAATAATTTTACCATGAATCTTAGCATTTTTCTTGTTTTTTTTTGTGTGTGTGAGTTTTCTCTTCATTTCAGTGTCTTGGGAACATTTTCTAATTACATTTATGACACTTGAAAATCTTGAAAATGAGGCCTGGAGGTTAAACTGGGTATACTTAATGTACATTTGTACATAATGTACATTTGTACGCTTATCTGTCCATTTTAATGACCCAGAACAGAAAGGTTGAAATTTTCCTCGTTATCTAAACAATAAAACAGCTAAGCAGAGTTCACTGTCGTGAGGTCTCATTATTTGTAAATTCTAATGCTCGTGACATGGTAATTGTTTTTTCAGTAGGAAAAATATTTACACACATAACTAAGGGAAGCGATTCAAGTACATGTAAACCATGTAGTCCTGAAAGGGAAGTACTGTGTAGAAAAGGCTCATGAATAAATATAAATCTGAGAAGGTTTACGGCATCAGAATAAGACTTTCAATTTTTGAAAATTTTCTCGTCAAATGTTTTTATATTTCTTTACAGTTAACGTAGTATAAAGTAGAGATGTCTGATAAAGTTCTTATTGGTTTTTAAAATATTACTAGGTATTCAAGGCTTGCTTTGTACTTAGGATCAGTTGAGTGGTCAGAAGTTA